CCAGGGCCCTTCTGCTTCTCGGCGCAGGGCCCGTGTGGTCCCCGAGGTGGCTGTCCCGGACGTGCACATCCACTGGGTGCTTGTGTTCAGCCTCTGCCTGGTCTCGTCTGCCTCTCGGCACGGGGCCGAGCAGCGTGGGGGCCAGGTAGGGGCTGGAGGGGCTCCAGAAGGTGGGGGTGTCCCTCTGCGGGAGTAAGACAGGCTGCCCCTGGCCTTCCCCACATTGGCTAATTAGGGCAAAATCCATTTTTACATGCTGTGTCTGGGTTTTCCACTTTGTGCTCCAGGTTCATTGGGGTTGGAAGGAACAGAGAAATATTAAGTTGCCTTTTCCAGAATCCTGGTCGAGTCCCCAGGAAAGCGGTCGTAATCAATCAGAATTGTCACCCTGGGTCACTTAAGTGGGGAGGCTCCAACCTGAACGGGTCGGCTGGGGTTTTACAGAGCATTGTCCCAGTTTCTGAGCTGGAAGAGCCCGAGAGATTCCAGAAGGGCCTGGTGGAGGGAGCGGATTGGGAGCCCCGGCTTGGGGAGGACCAGCTGAGAGTGCTAGGTTCCCACCACTCCCGGTATGTTTTCTGTCTGCACCGCAGAGACACAAGCCTCCGAGGTGGACTGAAATTCGGTGGTTATAAAGCACCATAGTTGGGTCCCCCCAAAGATGTGAGCAAGTCCTCACCGCCCCCCATGCCCTGTGCCTGTGAACGTGCCCTTTGGGCACATTGGGTCTTTGTAGATGTAACAAAGCTGAGATGAGCTCAGCCTGGACTAGAGTGGATCCTAAGTCCCCTACAGGGAGAGGGACACTGGGTACAGACACACACAGAGGGACAGTGGCCGTGTAGAGACAGGCGCGGGCATCCGGGCGGTGCACCTACAAGCCCGGGAACGCTGAGGATGGCCGGCAGCACCTGGGGCTGGAAGAGGCAGGAAGGATCCTCCCTGAGAGCCTTTGAGAAGGAACCGGGCCCGGCAATACCCGGATCGCAGACTCCTGCTCCCAGAGCTGGGAGAGGACGTGTTTCCGTTGTTTTAAGCTCCCAGCTGGTGGCCCTGGGGCAGGACCCCTAGGAAAGGAGTAGTAGGTGACGTGGGAACCACCCCCCGAGGCCCCATAACCGCAACCAGACCGTCCGCAGCCACGGGGCCCGTGCATCTGTGGGGCGTCGGGGCACTGGCTCTGCCTCCGGTCCTCGCCATCAACCGGGTTCCGCGTCCAGGCCTCATCTAGGGTGTCCCCAGGCACACTGGTGGCCCCACGGCGTGTTCTTGCTGAAGACTCGGCTGTGGGAGCCCGAGGGGCCGCACGATGCCGGCATGTGTCAGACGGGAGCCCTGGGAAACCAGGGGCAGGACCGCAGGAGAGGCAGAATGATGAGTGCTCTCCGAGCCCCTGTTATGTTCCCAGCGTGATCGCTTCTTTCTCCGATGCGCCTGGGGAAGAGGTCATCCTCACAGTTTTTTCTTTCTTTTTTTTTTAATTAAAATTTTTTTAAACGTTTATTTATTGTATTATTGAGAGAGAGAGAGCGAGAGAGAGAGAGAGAGCGTGAGTTGGGGAGGGGCAGAGAGAGAAGGAGACACAGAATCTGAAGCGGGCTCCAGGCTCCGAGCTGTCAGCACAGAGCCCGACGCGGGGCTCGAACTCAGGAACTGCGAGATCATGACCTGAGCCGAAGGCGGACGCTCAACCGACTGAGCCACTCAGGCGCCCCGAACGTATTTTTCTTGTAACGAAGGCTCCCAGGGCTCAGGGTAGATTTGGTCCTAGTTCCGGAGCTGAACCCCTCTTCACGGTCTCCACGAGCCCCAAGCACTTGTCATGTGGCCTGTGTGAGCCAGGGGCTGAGACGTCCATTTTATTTCATTTTAATTAATTTTAACGTGAACATAGGTCTCCGATTCAGTTGTTAAGGAAACGCCAAAGCATGTTTGTGTCAACTTGGGATATGAACCTACCTTTCCAAGTATAAGTTTTATAGCTCTAAATACAGATCAAGTATTTTAGGTGAAGATTTAGCATCCAAATTAGGACGTGTTACGTGTAAAATGACGCCAGGTTTTGTAGACTTAGTATGAAATACGGAACGTGAAGTACGTTATTATATTTTTAACTTATGTGACATGTTGATGTTTTGGGTTAAAGAACATATAGTATTAAAATTAATGTTCGCCCCTCCTTTTTAGTTGCATTGTTTTCCTTTTTAAAATATGGCAGCTAGAGAGCTTAGAAGTACCCTTGTACCTAGAAGTACCCTTATTTTGGGTGGGGGAGCAGTGCTGGTCCAGATGGCCAAACTGGGAGTTTGAAACCGATGTGCTGTCTGATTTTAACCCATCACAGGGCTCTGTGACCTTGGGAAAGTCCCAGGTCCATCTGAACTTCAGAGCCTCTGTAGGAAATTGAGGAGGTTGGACTGGACCAGTGGTTCTAGAGAATTAGAGGGAGACGGAGTGGAGCTTTCAAAACCGCCAGATTAGATGACCTCATTTCCTTCCCACTGTGATTCAATGGTTGGGCTGAGGACTGGCTCACACCATTCCCACTCCAAGGCTGAGCAGATGACAGAACTTATGACAGGATTGCTGGGCACGGTTGTGCAGGTTGTTGACCGCACAAGAGAGCCTTTCTTGATTTGCATGGAGTTACTGTCAAGATTTCTCCACACAAATAGAATGCTATGTGCATAGCATTCATGCAATTTGAAAGCACTTGCCTATAATGTAGATGTTATAGAGTAAGAGCCTGCTGTTTCCTGGGGCCACCCAAGAATCTAGGGGGAAGGTCTGTAGGGTGAGGAATAAATTCACAGATGAGGAGGGAGTGTTGTTGCTGGATGGGGTGGGCCAAAGAGTGTATTCTTCATTCTATACTTATAGAGATATTTGAGCCTTTGCAATAGCAGCCTAAGTCTCTTCCAGAGTCCCCAGAACTGTCATCCCGGGGTGCTCAAAGCAAGTCCTACTGCTGCTGGCTGGGGGTTGCATGCAGTCGACCTCAGCCAGTATTTCATGAGTCTTCTAGCAGCCATAGGCCAGCCTCAAGAGGTGTGGTCTCCCCTCCCTGGGTGTGGGAGGACGGCTCACCCCAGCCCCTACATCTAGGTGGGACCGGGTGCCCTGTTCCTGCCCCAGTAACGAGGCAGAAATGATGTGGGCCATTCCGGGCCCCATGGTTAAGAACAATGTGCCTTCTCTACCTTCTCCTTTATTTGCTGGCGGGACAGGGAGCATCCCAGAGAGGAAATTGGATGCCCCCAGGGACATGGAGCCACGGGTAGAAGGAGCCTGGGTCCCCGAATGAGTGTGTGATGCCATGCCGATCCACCCTGGGTTACGTCCAGAGTGAAAAATGGACTTTGGTTGTGTGATGCCGTGGAAATTTCAGAGCCTATTTGTTACGGCAGCTGGTGCGCTAACATGGTCCCAGGGGAGGGACGGGTCCTGTTTGTTACAGCAGCTGGTGCGCTGGTTAATACGGTCCTGGGGGAGGGACAGGTCCTGTTTGTTACAGCAGCTGGTCCGCTGGTTAATACGGTCCCGGGGGAGGGACGGGTCCTGTTTGTTACAGTAGTTGGTGTGCTGACTGATACGGTCCCGGGGGAGGGACGGGTCCTGTTTGTTACGGCAGCTGGTGCACTGACTGATCTGGTCCCGGGGGCGGGACGGGTCCTGTTTGTTACAGTAGCTGGTGCACTGACTGATCCGGTCCCAGGGGAGGGACGGGTCCTGTTTGTTACAGTAGCTGGTGCACTGGTTAATACGGTCCCGGGGGAGGGACGGGTCCTATTTGTTACGGCAGCTGGTGCGCTGGTTAATATGGTCCCGGGGGAGGGACGGGTCCTGTTTGTTACGGCAGCTGGTGCGCTGACTGATACGGTCCCGGGGGAGGGACGGGTCCTCCCTTGCCCTCATGGACTGCACTTCCAGGCCCAAGGGAATCGAGTGGGTGTGGCTCTGAGAACACATCCAGGTCCCCCCAGACTGGCCTGCCCTCCCCTGCAGAGCTTCCTTGTGGCCCGGGGAGCAGGAAAGCTCCTGGGCTTCCGGCCCCTGCTCCCCATGACACTGCAAGCCCTTCTCCACACGCGGATAATTACAAGCTGCTGGTCAGAGGCTGGCTGGGGGCCAAGGCATTTACATGGGAAAAAAGAAAATAAGGTTATAAGTCCCGAGCCATGGAAACCACCTAGAACTCCAGAGCTGTGTTGCCGAGCACTGTCCTTACGGAGTCTCGGAGGGACTGCTGGCCTCCAAAGTCCAGGATGACCACCCTCCCTCGGCCTTGAGGCTCCTCTCTCCCCGCGGGCCCTCGTTTGGCACAAGAAGGGAGCACGGAAGATGCTGGGGGTTTCTGGACTCTTCCCAGCACGCGCGTGGGAGTCTGGAGGGGGGCGGGGAAGGAACGGGACTGGGCAGGGCCAGAGGGAGGGTCCCCAAGGGCCACCGTGGCAGCCAGCCTGGTAGGGGGCTCCCGGGGGCCTCTCTCCTCCCCGCCAGCACTGCCGTCCCCATGGGGGTGTAGCTGTGGCTGACGGCGACACGAAGAGAGCTGTCACATATCACAACAGCGGGCATATCGGTTGTGGAGCGCGAGTCCAGGGTGGGAGGGTCGCTCTGCGGGGCCCAATGACTTGCCCGGGTACGTGCTTAGCAGGTGACAGAGTTGGGGGGTCTTTGGACTCGGCGGCGCGTGCTGCACGGAAAGGAGACACAAACGTCTTCTTGTTGAATTGGAGAAGTGTATTCTGGCACCGAGGAACCCTGATGCCTACGACACGCAGTGCGTGGAGAACACGGCCGCCGCCTGTGAGCCTCCACCCTGTCACATGCTGGCGGCTCCCGGCCGAGCCCCAGCGCCCGTCGCAGGAGAGGTGGCTGGCACGCCCAGGCCAGGGACGCCCGAACCCCCGTAAGGCTTCCCCAGCCCTCAGCCTGTGCCAGGTGCACGGGCTCCCATCCATTCGCTCACGGCTCTCTTTCTGTTTCTGTCTCTTCAGCGAGACGCGATTTTCATGGGATTGGAATAAATACACCGAACGACCCCGAGGTTTTACCATCCGGTGAGCACGCGCTGAATGTACAAAGCAAGAGAAAACCAAAACCAGACCCAAATCGTGTGTCTTTCAGAGCCCCCGGGTTTGGGGGTTGTTGCCCGGTGGGGAGTTTCGTGCCGCCTTCCATGCTGGCCTTCCCCGCGTCCAAGGTGAGACCGGATCCCCTTTGCTCCCGCAGATGGGCAGTTTCCCTTCTAAAGGAGGTTTTGAGTTACAAGAAGTTGAGCAAAAGAAACATAGGGAAGCCAACAAGTGTGCGTGGCACGCAGAAACCGTGGCAGGGAGGGTTCCCCTCGAGGGACCTAGATTTAGGGAGCACAGGTAGAGCCCAGCCCCCACTCTGGCACGGAGGGAGACACGGACGCGCCCCGCGCGGGAAATCAGAGCTGACCCGCGCACGGTCCTTACCGCGTGCAGGCGTTCCCCAGGTGCCCTACCTGCGCTGACGTGTCTCATCCTCACGGTGACGGTGAGGAAGGTGCTTTACGATTGTCCCATTTTGCAGGGGAGGAGCCTGGGAGGTCACAAGTGACACAACCGGCCAGGGCTGCCTGCCTAACAGGTGGGCGCTTAGCCATCACCCTGGGGCTGGCACCTGTCGGTGGGGGGACACACAGGCGTCGGTGTCCGGGCTCGGGCGGGGAAGCCGAAGAGGGTATAGACGCGCGGGTGGACAGACACGTGTAGTGGCGATGTGCCCAGAAATCTAGATCCCGCTGTGGGATATACAGATGGGCGGAGGGATGCATGGATGGAAAGAGGGACAGGTTTATCACCAGGTGTTGGCTGTGGGGGCCGAGCACGGCCACTGACGGCAGGCCAGGCGGCCGGGGAGGACGGCGATGAGCAGGCCGGGGTCCCGTGGGCTTGGGCGTAGCTGTGGTCCTCAGGCGGCAGACGGGAAGGAGGATCCGGAGGGAAGGCAGACCCCGCGCCTGTCTGGAGTCTCCTTCGGGGAAGACCTACATCCTTTTATGAAGACCTTGCTACTGATTAAGCCAGGCCCACCCACGGTAATCGCCCTTAGAGTGACTGAAAACAAACGGGTGAGGGACTTCACTCACATCTGCAAAACCCCTTGCAGCTGCAACCCCACCAGCGTTTGGTGAATCATCAGGAGAAGGTGTGGACGTCCAGGTCCGTCCGGGACTCTGCAGAGACCATCTGGGACGGTTGCTTCTGGCCTCAGACCCGTGGGCCTCTGCGGCTGGCGGCAAAGCCTGTCCCTTGTCTCGGGGTCACAGGGCGGCTTCCACACAGAGTTTTGCTCAGAAGCATTCCTTCTTTGTGGCGCCCTCACTGACCACCTCTGGGCGCGGGGCCCTGGGCTGGCGAGAAGGAGGAGACACGGTGGCCTCGTGCCCGAGCACTGTCCGCTCCGCGCCTGGGCTCGTCAGCCCCCGCCTTCCCAGGGGTCCTTCGGGAAGGTCCTTCCTCCTGGGGTGATTTTCCAGCTCTTCGGTCAAGAGCTAGGCCACGTTTAGAAACCGTGCTTTAAACGTGCACTAAGTTTTTACCGGAGTAGGATGTACACACGGAAAAGCGCGACACCCAGGGATGGGTACCAGGTGGGCACCCCCGTGATACCAGCTCCCAGGAAAAGGCACGGAACGTGGCCCTGCCCCCACAGTCCCCCAGAGTCCCTGCTCCGTCCCGTTCCCACAACGACCCCTCCCAGGACCGCCGTGCTGACCCCGTCACCGCAGTGGTTTTCTCTGATTCGGGCTTTATGGCCACAGAGTCCTATTGCGTGTGTGCCTCTGTGCCCGGCTTCTCTTGATCGTTATCACGTTTGTGGGTCTGCGGCTGTCGGATTTCGAGTTCGTTGCTGTGGAATATTCCATGGTGAGAATACGTCCTGAGTCGCCTCTCCGTCTTCCCGTCGGTGGGCACTGGGTAGGGCAGCCGCGAACATTCTGGTGTGCGTCTTCTGGTCGGGGCGGCCCAGAAGTGGCCCCGCTGGGCCGCGGGGCGGGGTGTGCGTTCATCTGCAGTGGCCTCTGGGGACCGTCACGGCTCCCACAGCTTCACCACCTCGTTGCTCTGAGGACCGGCCTGCCCGTCGCTACGAACAGGCAGTTCTAAGAGGATTTTTCCTTTGCAGCTTTTAATAGCCATGAAATTCCTGGCGACATGACATGTGCTCCAGAGGGGATGAAAAGAGAGCCGTGTGGGTTCTTGTGCAAATAAATAGCCCGTCCTCGGAGCGGGAGGCGGGCTGTTCCTCACACGGCCAGGCTCTGTTCCGTGCTTCCATCCCTGTTTCTGTCTTCGGAGGAAACGCAGGACCCTGTCGATCCCGCCACATTTATATCACTGTTATCCATTTCTGCGATCCCCGGGCTTCCTGGGCTCCAGCCAAGTGTCCACGGGTCAGCCTGGCGCACGCGGGGTGGCCTCTGTCCGGTGTCCCGCTCGCAAGCCGAGGGCGGTGCGGGGCCGCCGGGCCACCCGCCAGGGGCGAGCCCAGCTTTCTCCACCCTCCCTTTCTATTTGTTTAAAATTGTATTTATTTTAAAAATTGGTTTATTTTTTAAAGTTTATTTATTTTGAGAGAGAGAGAGAGAGAGAGAGAGAGAGCGCGCGCGCATGCGCACAAGAGGGGGAGGGGCAGAGAAAGAGGGCGACAGAGGATCTGAAGCCGGCTCACTGCTGATAGCAGAGACCCTGACGCGGGGCTCGAACCCACGAACTGTGAGCTCATGCCCTGAGCCGAAGTTGCTCAACTGACTGAGCCACCCAGGCGCCCCGATGCTCCCCCCTTTATTTATTTATTTTTTTTTAACATTTATTTATTTTTGAGACAGAGAGAGACAGAGCACGAACGGGGGAGGGTCAGAGAGAGAGGGAGACACAGAATCCGAAACAGGCTCCAGGCTCCAAGCTGTCAGCACAGAGCCTGATACGGGGCTCGAACCCATGGACTGTGAGATCATGACCTGAGCCGAAGTCGGACGCTTAACCGACCGAGCCGCCCAGGCGCCCCATCGATGCCCCCCCTTTTGAGGAGAAGCCCTGGACTGTGGTACACAGCACACGTGGGCGAGGGGGCGGGGGCGGGGGACGCGCAGATGACAGTCCGTGAGCCGAGCCAGCAGACCTGCTCAGGACGGCCCCCAGGCCCCTGTGCCCCCCTGCCCGGGGCACTCACTCTCCTCGCTCCCAGCAGCACCGTGAGGTCATCCGGGTTTGAAACGCGCACAACAGAGTCGTGGAGTATTTACTCTTCTCCGTCTGGCTCCTTTGTCAGGGTCCCGTCGGGAGACACAGTCGCGTAGGTGTGGCTTGTGACCATACACGCTCACGTTCATCCATCATCCGGACACGCCCCGATTTACCTCCCGGTCCCGCCGTGGCTTCCGGTTGGGGGCTGTTAGCATCAGCACCAAAGTGAGCATTCTAGAACATGCCTTTCGGTGAACACGCGGGCGCAGGCCCACGAGAGCCGTCGGTGCAGGCGGGCAGCGGCCGCAGCTGCTCTCAACCCCTCGGTCGGTGCGTCCTGTGAGCCAGGAGATTTCTGGATTGCTTGCCCTGTCCTTCCAGGGTCCCACGGGAGGTTTTTCCCTCTGAGTTTCCTGAACCGAGGGCTTCTAATCCCGCGAGGATCCCAGGAGGAGAGGGTCTGGGGGAGTCTCTCACGTGCATGAGGAGTTAGGGTTTCAGATGACCCGATGATCCGCCTCCCGTTATCTCTGTGCTCGCTCACCCCACAGCCCAGTTATCTCTGCAATCAAATTCCTGCCTCTGAAGTGGGGCTGGGACTTTGATCTTCCCTTTTGGGAAGATCTGAGCTCCCGGGACGCCCTGGTGTCCGGACCAGGCTGGGAGATGACTCAGGTCCCGGCGGGCTCCCTGGGGAAGTGGGCAGGGCAGCTGGCTGGGAGTCCGCTCTGTGCTCTGGCCTTCTGAACCCGGGACTCTGTCACAGGGCATCTTCCTTCTCCGAGTGCTGAGGGGGGAGGCAGTGAGGGACAGCCTGGGCTTTTGGGGGGGCACCTCATATGCCCCCAGCCCATGGTTCCCCCCCACGGTGCACTGGGTGTGGTGCCAGGGGCTGGGGACAGGGACAGGACAGACCTCCCCGACCGTGTGAAGTCTGCAGGGCTGAAATGGAAGAAACAGGGCACCGGAATGTGCTCATTGGTGATGCGCTGAGGACCTTGCAGTGGGCAGAGTTCCAAGGGGGGACCCACACGGCACTGCCATAACAAAGTCGGTCCCAGGGACTCCGGCAAAATCAAACACTCCTGGTCACCAAAACACCCCTTTGAGAAAGCAAAAAGACACGCCACAGACTGGGAGAAAATATTCCAAACACACATATCTGATGAAGGAGTCATACCTACAATATATAAAGAGCTCCCACCAATCAATAAGAAAAAGACAAATAAACGTGGGGCAAGCGCCCAGAGCTACCACTTCCGTAAAGAAGCTCTGAAATGCTCAGGAAGCACGTGAGATGCTCCCAGGCGTCATTATGCACCAGAGAAACGTGAATTACAGTCACAGCGGGACCCAGCTCAGGCCCAGCAGAGTATCGAGGATTGCGGACTACGCCGTCTGGAATGTCCCGAAAGCTCCCCAGCACTGCCTGCGGGGTCTAAACTCATTCCGCAATTCCCCTCTGGGCCACGTGCCCAAGAGAGGCGCGTGCACGGGTCCCCGGAAGACTGGTAAAAGGATGTCCCTGGCGGCTTTACTGGTGAGACCCCACACTGGAGATGACCCAGTGTCCAGCCGGGCGGATGGGGAAGCCAGCGGAGGGACGTGCAGACGTTGAAAGACCGCCAGCAACGGAGAAGACTGGAGCGTTTACAGAGGCCGCCGTGCAAATGAATCTCCAAGACCTCATGGAGCATGGCTATGTCCAGGGCGCCCCGGCGGTGACCCCGGGAGGACGCTGCCCCCGGGCCCCCCCCGGGCGGCCCCCCCCCCCCCCCACTCCCCCCGAGCCGCAGGTCCTACGACGGCTTGTGCCGGCTCTGATGGAACCTTTGCTGTGCCCAGGCCTGGCCACTGGGGGGATTTGTGCCCTCGTCCACGGGAGCTTGCCCACCCCGAGCTGAACGTGGACACCGCTGGTTTAGAGAAAGGAAATGACGGCCCTAAGAGGTCGGTCTGCCCTTGTCCCCATGGTCCTGACCGGGAAGCGCACACGAGGAAGCCCGTCCAGCAGCCTGTCTGCCGTGAGTGCCTGACCAGAGTCCCCAGGCCCATGCTCTCGGTCTCTGCACTGCCTCGACCTTTGAGTTTTTCGGGCAGGGGATCAGGGCGGACAGCTGGCCCAGGCCCTGGGTGGGAAGAGCCCCGGGACCCTTGAGGGTGGACGCCCCAGGTCCCCAGGAGGCAGAGGTGGGGCTTCCCAGGGCGCTCAGCAGGGCGACCACGCTGGCACACGGAGGCTGGGCACGGGGCCGAGAGCACCGGGGTGGGCGTCCCGGGAGCCGCCCTCCCGTTCGCCAGCCCTGCCCGTCACACCCGAGCCCTGGTGAGAACGACGGTGATAAGGACGTGCACGCCAGCCACTGGGCTCACTGCGCCCACCCAGCAAGTACTAAGGGGTCCGAATGCCGGGAGACCCTGTGTGGTTTCCCAGTTAAAGGCATTCGTTCCCAGCTTGCTGCTTATCGGCTCTGTGACCTTGGATGAGACCGCAACCTCTCTGCACCTTGGCGTCCTCGTCTGCAAAACGGGGATAAGGAGAGCCCCAAACGCCCTCATGCAACAGGTGCACCGGCCGCGTCCGAGGGGCCGGCTGAGGGAGCCACGCTGAGAGCTCACGCCAGCCCACGAGGCCGAAGTGAGACCCGTACACTTAGCCGAGAGCCTGGCCGCGGGGACGGCGCCCCCGCGTCCCCTTCCGCGCTCCTTGCCGTCAGGAGACATCGCCCGTCGGAGCAGACAGACGCGCGGGAGCAAACAGCAGCAAAGGTTCAGCCCACAACGCCTGCTTGCGCACAGGTCAGTCCTGGGGCGGCACGCGGGGCGAACCCGGGGGACGGGGCTCCTCCCGGCCTCGGCAGGCTGCACCGGCGGCTCTCGCCTCCCTCCCACTGTCTGTGTGGGCCCTTTGCGCAGAGCCCGCAGGCCCTGCTGAGTCTCCGGGGGTCAGATAAAGAGGCTCAGAGTTCTCTCTTTGGATAAAAAGGTGCTGACTGTTCGCATAGCTGAGCCGAAGGAGCTGGTCTTTTAAAGGTATGTTTATGGACTGGTTCCAGAACTTGTCTCATGGGCCAAGCGGCAGCTCGGATTCCTGCGTGTTCTCTGAGCATCGTTTCCGTGCCAGGCACAGAGCAAGGCATGTGGGTCACGCAGCAATGACGCCCGTGGCTGCGTGCCACGGGACCTCCCTGGTCCTCCCGGGGCGAGACACAGACAGGTGCAGAGTGATGGCGGAAGGGGCTGCAGGAGACGCTTCCAGACCCCGTGGCCGCGTCACCGGGATTCACCCACAGTCCCGTGTTCGGCCACCTGAAATCAAGGTTCTCCTTCTCGGATTTCCCACTCTGGGAGAATTGCGGGACTTGCTCTGGCTGAGGGGGTGGCCCCTGGGCAGGACGGCCCCGTGGGGGCTCAGACAGCTGTAAAAACATGGGGGATGGGGAGCTTCCTCCTGGGGTCCCTGATGGGCATGTGCGTGCACAACCCACCTTGTGCACCCTCCCCCAGCACACCCGCCTGAACCTCGTGGGGGCACACCCTTCCCAGCATGTGGCTCCAGGACCCCATCCGGGTCCTTCCACCGGGCATCGGGAAGATGTGCCCTCCCCTCCAGCCAGGCTCACTTGCAGCCCTGCTTCAGTGATGACACATGCCTCTTCAGCAGCAAGGAATAAGGAAGGCCCCTACGCTCCTGGCCACCCCCTTAGGGGCTCAACGCAGAGCGCCCACCGGCTGGAACTCGCCTCAGTCACCTCTGTCTTCAGCATCTCCTTGCTCCAAGTTCCCGCAGCGCTTTGCAAATCTCGCCCGGTGACATTCCTATTTGTGTGTGCCTGTCTTCTCTTGCTCGGATCAGTGCAGTAGCCTCTAAGCCACGCTCCCTGCCTCTACACCACTAACAGTGATCTTCCTAAGGAGTAAGCCTTCTTGTTTCACTCCCTCGCTTAATAATCATTGCTTCCCCGGCGCCCTGTTGCCTACAGGACAGAGTCCCAATTTCCCGACGGGATATCCAAGGCTCTCCCAGGCTAGCTGGCTTCCCTTGCCATACAGCCCACCTCTCAGCCCCGCCTTGAACCTGCCTGGATTTAGGTTGTCTCTTCCACCTGGAAAACATCCTGCTCCCTCCTCTATGCCAGTGGTTCCCCACTCGGGGTAACTTTGCTCCCAGGGAACATTCAGCACCATCTGGAGACATTTCTCGTCGTCAGCAGTTGGCGGTGTGGGTGCTCCTGGTCAAAGCTAGGGGGTGCAGTTGTCCGATGCACAGGACACACAAGAAGCACGTGGCAAGAAGCACGTGGCCCCAAATGTCAGCCACGCTGAGGTCAGGTCGAGGAGCCCCGCCCTAAGTCCCTCAGATGTCACGTGTCCTTGGTGAAGTCCCGTCAGATCCCCAGGCGTCAGTGCTCCTGTCCCCCTCTGCCCAGGCCAGCCAGCTCTTCCGTGGTCTCACCAACAGCTCTCCGGCAGCCCTTGGGGGGACGGCCTGTCTCCCTGCCTGGCCCGGAGCTCCCCGAGGGCAGGGACTGTGTCCTCGTTAGCATCACCATGGGTTAACCTGGGGCTGGGGGCTCCAGGGAGCTTCGAAAATATTGATTGGTTGGAACTGAAGATTCAACTTACCCCTCTCCTTAGAAGTAGGATTTTGGGGGCGCCTGGGTGGCTCCGTTGGTTAGGCGACCGACTTCGGCTCAGGTCATGATCTCGCAGTTTGTGAGTTCGAGCCCCGCGTCGGGCTCTGTGCTGACAGCTCAGAGCCTGGACCCTGCTTTGGATTCGGTGTCTCCCTCTCTCTCCCCCTCCCCTGCTTGCACTCTCTCTCTCTGTCTCTCTCTCTTTTTCTCAAAAATAAACAACAAAAAAAGAAGAAGTGGGATTTTGGTCTGGGATCCAGGCAGGAGTGTCAGGGGAACAGGAGCCCCTGGAATTGTAACACAGGGAGGTGGTCAAGGGCAGAGACGCAGGGCTCAAATCCTGGCTCCTCCACTAACTCGCTGTGTGACCTTGGGCCGCCCGCTTAACTTCTCTGTGCCTTCGTCGTCTCCTCTGTGAAGTGGAGATAGATGACTGCACTCACCTGGGGTAGATTTAAAACACATGTGATATTCTGGCCACCCGGAAGTCTCACCGAGACCACGGGTAAAGACCCCGGGGAAGGAGGTGACCACGAGCCCCTCCAGTCCAGGGTCTTAGTCTCGCCAGCCCCGGGGGGCCAGACAGGTGAGTGAGCGCCCAGCCCCCGCCCGGCTGGACCTGGCCGAGACCGCTGGCCGCCAGCATAGCGGGCGACCGTACGGAAGTGTCGTTGTTGTGCTGGGGTTCTGACTGCGTGCGGTAGGTAAAAATGAGGCGCATCCGCGCGGGCAAGTCCTGAGCGCCATCGCCGACCCGAGCAAGGGCTTAGGGAACGCTAAGTATTGTCGTTCATTCGTTCGACGTGTTCACGGAGTCCCACGCGTGCCGGGCACGACTCTGGCCTCTGGGGACAAGCCCTCACGGAGCTTACGGCCGGGACAGGAGCAGGCAGCAGCCGGCACACAGGTCACCGGTGTGGCTTCTCGGTGCCGCTCTGGGGGTGGTGTCGGTGCCCCCCCCCCCCGGGAGGTCACGGGGCCACGGTCACTTGTGAGCACGGGTCCTCAGATGAGCAGCCTCAGTCCCGTGCCCCTGGCAGCTCGGGGCCCACACCTCGCCAGCCCCTGTCCTCAGCTGTGCCGGGAAGACAATGGTGGCTGCTGGGAATCCAGGTCACGAGGGGCAGGCCCGGGGCTTCCTGCGGTAGCCCCACCCTAGTGCCTGAGGAGTGCTGGCCCCACTGCAGCCGTGCCTCAGTTTCCCCTCCTGGGCAGGGGCCGTCGTGGTACAAGTGGCCTCCTGGGGGGTCGTGAGGACTCAGGGAGGTAGGTGGTCCTGGAGACGCCCCGGGCCCGAGGCGAAGGCCTTTGTGCTAGCATTTCATCTCTCTGGGCGAGGCGGATGAGATCAGCCACTTTTGTTTCTAGGAAACTCACAGACAACTGGCTCTAATAAAACCAGGCAGCTGGGCGCAGGCGGGCAGGAAGTGGGGAGGACCCGGGCTCCTCCTGCAGGCCCAGGAAGCCGGTCACGCCAGGGCCCTAGGAGCCCCCTCCCGAGGACGCGGGGCCAGGCGTCTTCCCCGCCCGAGGTGGTCAGCAGCGTCCCGGGCACGGGCTCGCGGGGTCGCGGGGTCCCGGGGACGAGGGAGCATGTGCGGCCCCTCTCCCGCCCCTGGCTCTGCCCCTTTCCTCTTCTCCGCAGCCAGCTGCTGACATTGTGAGAAATTGCTCCCTAAGGCAGTTTGGAAATATGAAAGGAGGCACTTCAGCGGCAATAAATCACGCTTTCTGTCCTCGGTCCTGCGGGGGACGCTATGGATTAGACCGTTTTCTGGGGATTAAGCGAACCTGATGACAGGCGGGGTCTGAAGCTCCTGCGGTCAAGCCGTGCTGACAGACCGCCACGGTCACGGCCTTACGTGGGCACCTTTCCCTGCAGGGCTGCCGAGGACACGTGGATGCTGTTGTTGGATGTGGCTCGCAGCATCCAGGAGCCTCTAGCTGTGCTGGGGACGTTCCCCGCCGAGAACCTGGAGAGAACAGAGCTTGGGAGCCCTGCCCTTTGCTGGTGCCCGGGGCGGCCGGGCTCTAAGGTGAGCGGGTCAGGGCGGAGCCCAGCCTCCCTCCGTCACGCGGAGAGCCCAGCACGCGGGGCGCTAGGGTCCAGTGGTTACCCCAGGCGAGCGGGGCTGGTCCGGCCCACGAGAATACCCTCTTTAACGGGGTGAAGCGGAAAACACCAGAAGGCCATCTTGGTACGGCCGGAAAACACGTTTCAAGAATTTGACAACAGCTCACGATGAAAACTCTCGCTTTGGGAAGGAGGAAGACTTTCTGAACCGGAGAAAGGCTCACGGATCAATGGATGCCTGCAGCTTGCGGTTCACTTCACAGCAGAGGCTGGGGCGCCTGGGGGCTCCGTCCTTGAGGCGTCCGACTCGGGCTCAGGTCACGATCTCGCGGTCCGTGGGTTCAGGCCCCGCGTCGGGCTCTGTGCTGACGGCTCGGAGCCCGGAGCCTGCCTCGGATTCTGCGTCTCCCTCTCCCTCTGCCCCTCCCCTGCTCGCGCAAGTGCGCTCGCTCTCTCACAAAACGAAATAAACGGTAGCGACAACAATGAAAACCAACCCACAGCACAGGCTGACTGTGTCCCTGACAGGGGCCGAGACAGGGGTGCCCGCCACCCCTTGCACACCGCAGTCTGCCCCCCGAGGGCACGGCGGGTGCGGGGAGGCATCACCAGGAGGGAGCCGCCGGAGAGAAGGAAGAACATGTGGTTACGACTGTAAACGTAGAAGTTTCTAAGGAGGTTGCCGAAAAACTCCTGGAAGCAGTGAGTGAACGTAGCAAGACAGCAAATACTAGATCGCTTTACGACAAAATTGGGTCACGTTTTCTATAATCGATAGCTGGAAAATAAAAACCTAGAAGCAGCGTGTAAAATTGTATCAAAACCATCACCTATTTCGGGGCAAGTGAAACCGTAATGCCGATGGACGGTTTGCTGATGAACAGCGACAAAGACCTAAGGAAACGGCGTGCTACCCCACGTTATGGCCCAGAAGACTCACCGTTTTTAAGATGTCAGCCTTCCCCAAACCGATCTATGGATTTAACGTCATCTTAATCAAATCTCAACAGCCTTAAAGAAACAAACACAAAAACAACCCTGGCCAGCCGACGTGAGAACCACCACGGAGATGGATAGAACTGAAGGGAGCAAACACACGTTGGGAAAACAAGGATAAAGTGGGAGGGCTTACGTGACCCGATCTCAAGCCTTCTGATAAAGCCGTGGCAATTGGGCCGGCATGGCTGTGACTCACGGGCAGACGTGGGGACCAGTGGAACGGGGCAGAGAGCCATGAACTGAACCGCACGTGCATGGTCCAGTGATTCAGGGGAAGGGGAGGCGTTTCCTGGAATGGGTGTCCACTGGGCCCAGCGCTGTTCAGCGGAAGCACGATGCGAGCCGCACACGTGGTTTAAAGTTCCCGGCGGCCATCCTAAAAAGGTGCAAGGAAATGGGTAGAGTTAATTTTAATAATGTAGTCTGTTTAAGCCAGTATACCCACAATGTTGTCATTTCAACATACAATCAGTAAAATCCCCAGTGAGGCATTTTACTTTGTTTCTCGGCTCCAAGTGTCCGAGATGTGTTGTGTATTCTTAACGGATAGCGCGTCTTGATTCGGACTAGCCACGTTTGAAGCGCGCAGCTGGTACCCGGGGCCAGCGGCTCCAAGTTTGGACATCGTGGGTGACGGACAAAAATGCACGTTGAACGTTAACTCACACCATTCACAAAATTAAACCGAAATGCATTACGTACCTAAACATGCCAGCCAAAATGACGAAATTCCAAGGGGAAAGCATAGGAGAAGATCTTCGTAACCTTGGGTAGTCAAAGGTTTCTTAGATAAAAACCCAAAGAACGTAAACTGTACAAGAAAAACATTGATATTTTAATGTTAAGCAAAACTTAAAACTCAGGTTCTTCAAAAGACACCACAGGAAAATGGGAAAGGCCACCGTGGTCACTGGTAGGAAGACAATATTCATGACGCGTGCGTTGGACGAAGGACCGTTATCCAGTATATTAAAAGCAAAAGAAAACAAAAATGTGTTACGCTGGACAATCCTTCAATCCTACGAAAAGATGGGGAAAATGTTAGAAGATACTTCAGACAAAAAGATGCACGAATGGTCATCAAGCACACTGAAGATGCTTGACCACATGAGTCCTCAGGGGAACGCAAGTTAGAGCCACAGGGAGCCACACACCCATTCGAGTGGCTAAATTAAAGACCAGACAATACCAAGTGTTGGCGAGGAGTAGGGCGACTGGAATTTCTGTTGCTGGTGAGAACGTACCATTATACAATCACTGTGGACAACAGTTTTGTAGATTCTTCTAGAACCAAACATACATTTTCTGTATGAGCCCGTCTCCCCGGGAGAAAGGAAAGCCTATGCCCACGGATGGATGTGAACATGAATGCTCACGGCTACTTTGTAATTGCAGCCCAAAACTGGACACAACCCTGATGCCCATCAAGGGCGAGTCGGTAAACACACCGAGGCATAGCCACACCGTGGAATCCTACTCAGCCACAAGAAGGGAAGAAACCACTGCTGGTTCGTGGAATGTGGGCGAATCTCAAAAACATTATGCCGAGTGGAAGCACATAGACGCGGGAGACCATACACAGCGTGATTCCCCTTTTATAAAACTCTAGAAAAGGTGGACCTAAGTAGCGAGAAGCAGATTAATGGTTGCCTGGGGCCGGGATCGGGGGAGGGGGCAGGGGTTGTCGGAAGAGGGGCTTACGGGAACGTTTCGGGGATGACGGGAAGCTCTGTGTCTCGTTTGCGGTGGGGGTTACGCGGGCGGTACAAACTCGTGAGAACATGATGAAATGTACACTTGAAAAGAGTGGTCCGGTTCTGGACGCAGATCATGCCTCAAAGACGTCAATGTAGCCAGAGTTAGCATCTCACAAAATAGTTGGAATGCACAGATGAACGGAAGTAGTAAACACACATCACCTGTAATCCTACACTTCAGAAATGACGTGTAGGGATTGTGGAGCGCAGCCGAAACGATTTTATAGATATTTTCTTTGCATGTATGGGTATATATGCGGAGTCTTACAAAACCAGAGTCCTGTTACGTCTATATTCCTTTTTCTGTTTTTTTTTTAAGTTTATTTATTTATTTTGAGAGAGAGCTAGAGAGAGAGAGAGCGTGAGTGAGCCAGTGAGGGGCAGAGAGAGAGAGAGAGACAGAGACAGAGAATCTTTTTTTCAAAAAATCTTTAATGATTATTTATTTTTGAGAGCGAGACAGTGAGAGCCAGGGAGAAGCAGAGAGAGAGGGAGACCCAGAATCCGAAACAGGCTCCAGGCCCTGGGCTGTCAGCGCACAGCCCGACGTGGGGCTTGAACTCACGAACCGGGAGATCGTGACCTGAGCCGAAGTCGGACGCTCAACTGACTGAGCCACCCGGGCGCCCTTCCTTTTTCCATTTAACAGCGTCTTGAGGGCCTATGTCCACCTCCTCCCGAGCACTTTCGTACCACACTCTCAGTGTGAAGGGCAGCATCCCAGGGCCACACCCGCGTCCGCATCACTGGCCCCGCCGGGGGCGCGTGTGGGTGCTCTTTCCCATTTTCACCGTCGTAAGCACGCTGAGCCAAGCGTCTTCCCTGGTTGCGTTCCGAGCGGCGGCCTGGCTCGGTTGAACACGCGGACGTTGTGAGGGGTATTGACAACTGATGCCCCAGCAGCCCCGGCCGGCCCAGCACGGGGGTCGGGACTCCCCTCATGGGTGTGCGAGCTGAGCCTTAGGGCCCCTTCTGCCGGTTGGCTGCCCCCCCTCCCCCCACCCCTTGGGTTTTCTTTCCCCGCTCAGTTCTACCGGAGACCGAGAGCGCACGAAAACCCGGGGCCTCTGCTCTTCCGGGAGGCGTGTGGGTGGACGTGTGCTGGGGAGGGTCCCGGCACCTGCAGGGAGACAGAGTTGAGCCGCTGGGAGCATCTCTCTCGCTCTGGCGCTCAGGGAGGCCAGCAGGTGGGAGGCCCTGCGGCTTGGCACGCTCCCTGAGCAGACACCAGCCGGTTCAGAGAGAATGCCAGAGAAAGGGTGAAGGGACACGGTGAAGTCTCGGGAGGAAGGGCAGTTCAGGGGTCTCAGGGCGGCAGCTGGCTTGCTTTGGGGGATGGTTCAAAGGTCTGATGGAGGAGGGGGCAGCGAGGCCAGTATCATCTCCTTACGTGAGATAAATTCCTCTCCTTGGAAAGGAGCGAGCTCCCCGCTCCTAGGAGCATTCAAGCCGGACGGCAGCTTCTTGGCGTGGGATGCGGCCTGCAGCTGGACCAGGGCCTGCACACTGGCCCAGTCGGTCCCTCTCAAGGGCGGGATGCTCGCTGACATCATCGTGGGTGGTCTGTTCCCTCCGTTCTGTTCCGTGGTGCAGTAGGGCGGCCGTGTAGACAGCGTCCGACCCACGACCTGCGGGCTCCGGGGTCCCCAGCGTGGTTGGCGGCTGTCCTGTGGGGGGACAGCTGGCTGCGTCACTGGAGGCCGCTCCGCCAGCCCTGGCCACCCTCGCCCGGCGAGTGGGTGAAATCCAGGTGGGCTGCCTGGCAGGAGCAGTGGGAACGTGGGACTGAAGGCGGCCCATGGGTCGGTGGGGGTTGGGCCGGGGATGACAGGGGGCAAAGGGCAGGCAGGAAGCCGGCAGCCCACCCACCCAGGCCTCTGCCGGCACAGGCTGCGGTGGCCAGAAGCGGCTTCCTCCGGCGGCCGGCGTGGGGAGAAAGGAACTACACTCAGTTCCTGCATCGGAAAGGAGAGGAAGAGGCGAAGGTTGTGACCTGCTGAAGGCACCGCACTTTCCCCAGCTCTGGGAGCGATTTGCATGGGAACCCGCGAGGCGGAAGCGGTATTTTAGCTGCTTTCCAAGGCTGATGAACAGCAGAAGACACGGGAGGTGGGACGACGGATCCGGATTTCCGTGCTCAAGACCTCTTTCCAGAGAAGACGCAAACACTGGCACCCGGGAGTCTCCCGACCGCATCCAGGGCTCTTGGTGGGGGGAGGGGGGGATGGGGACCGCGGGCCGGCCCGTTGTCCCGCCGCCCTGCCAGCTGCGAGCCGGGGTGGGGGGCAGCTCGCCTCTCCCCAGGTGCTGCACCTGCTTCCCCGTCTGGCCACATCACGCCCGGCAGGATTTGTCTGCGGGTTTAACTGAGATGATACGCAGAGAGTAGCCGCGGTGTGTGATTTCAAATATCTGGACCCAGGAAATGAATCAGACCTTTCTCATTGGCCTCCGGCGACTCAGTCCATTTAGTTGTAACACGCAGCCCAGTAGGGACGTGAAGCGTCTCACGGTAAAGGGACGACAGTAAGGGTTTCAGACAGCGCTATGCCGCGCCGGCTGTGGGCTAAGTGCTTTCTGTGGATGATCCCAACCAGTCGCCCTGAGAACCCTGTGGGAACCGGTTTATTGTTAGGCCCGTGTGGCACCGGGGGGGGGGGGGGGTGACTGCCCAGAGCTGCTCAGCCTGCGGGTGCACGGCTGGGGTCCCAGCACAGACCCCGCGGGCCGCCCGTCACCCTCCATCAGACGCCCCCGCCCCGCACGAGGCAGCAGCCCCGAACACGGGCGCGTGGTCTCAAAGTGGGGGGGTGTGGGTGGACTTTCCGGGGACCCAGAACGGTATGCAAATTTATGTAAATATGAAGCGCTTCTCCCTGGGAAGCAGTTCCATTGACTCTGTAAGATTTCTCGAAAGGCTCATTGGGAAGGTCATCAGCTGGTTCCCGGCCCCAGATCCGGTTCCCTGGAGACGGACCTGAAGCAGGATTTGTGTCCCGGCGGTAAAGGCCACGCGAGAAACCAGGACGGGCGAGGAAGGACAGAAGGAGAGACCACACCCCAGGTCAGCGGTGTCCTGGGGTCCCGGTGGGGGGGGGGGGGGGGGGGACGCGGGGTGGGGGCGAGCCACACCGCAGAGCCGGCTTCCAGACTCCCCCACGGTAAGCCGGGGCTCTGGGACCGTTCTCAGAGAGTCCCAGGTGCCCGGCCATCGAAGCAGAAGCGGAGACGCTGGAGGAAGGACACGCGGAAACCATTCGCCCGGTGGGACGTCACCCTGTTCGTAGGCTCATCGCCGCAGCTGGGGTGTTGGGGCTCCGAGGGCTGACGTGCGCCCCACGGAGCCGCCAGGAGCCGGGCACGCTTAGCACCCATCTGCTGGCGGCCGTGGGCAAGTCTGTCCTTCGATCCTTGGCGCCCGTTGGTGGAACCACATCATCTTCCGTGCCCACACGAATCCACCTGCGGCCGAGGGGGTCCTGACAGCTCTGGCGGATGGCCTTGGGCACTTTGTCCCGACCGGGCCGTGACTCTGTCCTAGGCGGATCCCGTTCCACCGGCTTGTGTCGACAGATGCCGTGTTGGGGCGTCGCTGGGGTCCCTCTTGCCAGGCCTCAGTTCCCTTGCCTGCGGTCCGGGCTCATCCCAGCGCTGAGGTCGGGGCCACTCTGCACGCCGTAGCCTGGTCTCCTCAACGGTGCAGCGCACGGGGAAATCAGGGGAGCCGGGGACCCTGGCCTGGGGTGAAAACGCCCCAGTGCAACGCGCAGGCCTCCGTTGGATCCTGGTCCATTTTGGGGTCCTCTGGGGAGATCCGAACACAGACCAGGTAGCAGACGATTAGGGAATTACTGTTACTTTTGCTAGGTGAGCCAACAGCATCGTGATCGCAGGGACGAATGTCTTTCTGTTTTCAGAGATGCCGCTGTGATGTTTAGGACGGAAGTACGTGCATGTCCGCACGATGCTAGTGGGTTCCACAACGTGTATGACTATCGGCTGCGCAGAAAAATTGGCGAAAAGCTAATCGCTGAGTCTAAGTCGCAGACATATGGGACGCAGTCGCCTCTACTATGTTTGAAAATTTCCTAACGATGGGGGTGCCTGGGTGGCGCAGTCGGTTGAGCGTCCGACTTCAGCCAGGTCACGATCTCGCGGTCCGTGAGTTCGAGCCCTGCGTCGGGCTCTGGGCTGATGGTTCGGAGCCTGGAGCCTGTTTCCGATTCTGTGTCTCCCTCTCTCTCTGCCCCTCCCCCGTTCCTGCTCTGTCTCTCTCCCAAAAATAAATAAAAATAATGTTGAAAAAGAAAAGAAAATTTCCTAACGCAAACTTAACCACTTGGCTCAGAGTGGAGGAGCGCCCAGGCAAGTGCGTGCGTGAGCTGAGCGCTGGGCAGGTGTGGGCCAGTTCCCGCCTGAGCAGCGAGCTGGCCACCGGCCTTCCGATGACAGAGTCCCAGCCGGCCCATCTGCCCCTCTCCCACCACAGGGGCCCAGGCCTCATCCCCGGGCCCCCGGATCAGCGCACACTTTCAAACTGTCCTTCCTCTGGCCCGAGGGCCACGGCCACACGTCGTCCCCAGGGCCCTGCTGTCCCCGGGGGCTGCCCCAGACCCTGGGCGGTGGAGCCAGGGTGTCCCAGGGCAGAGGCCCCCTCTTCCTCCCCGGCTCATTCACATGTCAGTGCTTGAGAAGCGCTTTCCTCTCTGGGGGGCTGCTGGACAGTGCTGACGGGTGCGAGCACTGTCGCCGGGGGGGGGGGGGGCGGTAAGCACACCCACCCCAGGAGGCCAGGGTGCAGGGAGGGGAAGGGGAGGGCAGGGCCACGCCAGCAGCAGCGGGCAGTGCGCACAGTGGTTCTTTTCTGGCTCGGGCCTCGGGGCCCCAGTGGGCTGGGCCTGGTTCTGCGGGTGGGCCCGGGACCCTGCATTTCTCTCAGATCCCTGGTGATGCCGATGCGGCCGGCCTTGGCCACACGACGTCCTCTGCTTCAAGGGCAAGGTGGCTGTGGGGAGCCTCGTGATGGGGTCGAACCCTGTCTGGCTTCCTGCCCCTCAGAGGGACCAATGTGCTGAGGGACCAATGTGCTGAGCAAGTGCAGGCCTCCCATCTCGGGCCGGACCCCTCCTCCGATGCTGCCTGGCGTGGGTACGTGCAGGTGCCCTCTGACCCCGGGGCCAGGGGTCAGCTGCCCTCCATTTGTCATCATGACCTAAGCCACAGGAGGCAGGGCCCCTTCCTGAGAGGAAACTAAGTGGGGGCAGCAGTGGCCTTGGACACGGAGGCCTTTGCTCAGCACAACAGGCCCAGCCGGGCCGGACTGGGGATGGGCAGGGGAGCCCAGGCAAGCCTGCCTCTGCCCTCGAGTGCTCAGAAACTTCCAGAAGGCTGTGTGCTCCCCACTAGAGCTCTCCACAAGGGCTGCCTCCCTCCGCGGGTGACCAGGTGGGAACCCCAGCCCCCACCCCCACCATTAGGTCCCCTGAGTGGGTGCGGCTCTGTCACCATGCCATGGGACAGGCTGGGTCCCCCCCCCCGTTCCCCACCCCGCCCTGATGCCTTTTCCCAGCGTGGACTGACACCTGGCCTGTGTTGCTCTGCTTCGTGGGGGTAATTTGCTCAACTGCTCATTGTCTGTGGCCCCAGCAGGAGTGGGCACACCTGTCCTGTCCCTGCACGGCGCTCAACACAGAGCGTGGCCCCGTGTGGGGGCGTGGCAGGCGAACCAACCGAGGGACCAGACAGGTGATCCTATAACGTTTGATTTTTGAGAGAGACAGCGCGTGAGTGGGGGAGGGGCGGAGAGCGGGGCGACACGGAACCGGAAGGAGGCTCGCAGTTGTCGGCACAGAGCCCGACGCGGGGCTCGAACTCACAAACCACGAGCTCACAGCCGGAGCTGAAGGCCGCCGCTCAACCCACTGAGCTACCCACGCGCCCCCGGGCGGGTCGTCCTCCAAGCGCATATCTGACTCCTAGTTATGGGGAATCTTGCAAACCCGCTTGGGGGCAGCACCACAGCCATTGCGTTGGGTCCGTGATGATTTTGGAGAGTGAGAAGGGGGCGCAGATACTTCCTTACGCCCTTCAGGAGCCCAGGTCCGGAAGACGGCTATACCCCGTTTGTCCAGCAGAGGGCAACCCATTCCCGGCAGCTTGGCGTCCCGCGGCGCTCACAGGGGCTCGCCGCTTTTTTTTTTTTTTCTTCTCTTTGAACTTATTTTTTTGTAATGGGAAATATCTTTTTTAAAAATCCCACAGTCCACACAAGGGGGAGAAAATAAGTGGATGTGATGCACAGGCAATTGGGAAATTGCTTCCTTCTAAGTTTCAAAGCAACTTTTCTCTTTTGAGAACACTTAGGGAGAGACCTGGGGCACGGGTCAGATTTTGACTGGCTCAGGCACGGAGCCTGGCACCTAGAGAGTTTTAAAAGCCCTACGAACCTGCGACAGCCCCTGTCTACTGGCCCGCTGGCTGGCGGCACGGTCACGGAGCCCTGTCGCTGGAGCTGAGCCCCCCCCCCCCCCCCGGAGATGTCTGCAGAAGACTCCAGGAGCCGCCCAGGCGGGGGAGGCAGGAAGCCTTGGCTGTGTGTCTGGTCTGGTACTAATTAGCTGTGTGACCTTGGGCAAGTCACTTAACCTCTCTGGTCTGTTTACTCTTCTGTTAAATGGGGTGTCGGATTAACTCATCGTGAAGTTCCTTTGAGCAGAAAAGTCAGTGGCGGGGGGGGGGCGGGGGGCGCGGGGAGAGCTGCTAGCCTGGGGCCCGGGAGCAGCTTAGGAGAGGTACCGCGTCAGCGCCCGTGACCCGTGTGGGGCCTGGGGGCAGACCCGGCAGATCGGACCTGCAGTCAGTGTATGTGTCTGACTTTGAGTGCAGCTTGGCCCTGCCACTAATCCAGCGTGTGACTTCCAGTGGCTCGTTTCTCCGTGCCTCAGTCTACCCATCTGCAGGCTGGGGACGCGGGGCACACTTGCAGGCGTGCTGTGGGATCTCAGTGTGATAAGAGATGAGAGCGTGTGAGTGTGTGTGTGTGCTGATAGGGGACAGAGGAGAAAAGAGTCTCGTACATAATCTTCATCAGGGTGAAGATCACATAACGTACAATTACCCATCGTGGAGTGTACAATTCTGTGAATAATCTTTTAAGGGGAGCTTAAAAATAGGAAAACAATGGTGGGAACCCACCCCCTGTCAGGGTCTGTGCCAAACGCTTTGCTCACGTTGTGTCCTTTAATACAAGCCCACGGGGAAGGGACTTGGCAGGGAGGAAATGGACGCCCAGAGAGGTCCAGCGACTTTCCCCAAAGCGTCCAGCAGGGAGGCGGCAGGATGCTGGGGGGCGATGTGGGGCCGCCCGCCCCCGCCCTCTCCCCCCAGCCCAGCTCAGGAGCCTTGGGAAGGCGGCCAGCAGGCCTGGGCGGGGCCTGGGATGACGGGCAGGACAGCGGGAGCCGAGGAAAGTCACTTGACCTTGTCATCCCTTCATTTCCTGCTCTGCCGAAGAGGAAATGTTTACACAGCGTCCCCACACAGAGGCTCCGCAGGCCTGGACTTGCGGTAATTAGCTGAACAATGAGGCTCTAGCGGCCGTGCAGCGGCCCAGGCCCTGGCCTGGGGGGTCAGGTGGCCGGGGGCCCCGCTCCTCACCGACAGGCTTGCCCCATGACCCTGGGCACATCCCCCGCCCCTGGGCCTGGTTCTCGGGGTGGGGAAGGCCGGCGAGCGGGCCTCCGGGACCCCGCGAGGGCCCCGTGAGTGGGGGACACACCTGGTGGTGACGTGTGGGGCGGACGGCACGTCTGTAAGCTCACGTGTTCGGCCCCGAGGGTCCCTGGGCCAGCTCAACGCTTCGCCAGCAGTCACGAGATCTCTTTCCAGCGGTCTGTTCGCTCGTTAACGCGTCGATCAATGGATCCATCAAACGCGGAGCACGCTGGCTGTTCCCCGAAGCGACGCTCCTCTTCGCAGCATGTAGAACGGTCTTTCGGGTGTGGCTGCCGGGCCGGCGACCCCGTTTCCCAGATGATTTTGCATCTGGCGGGGTGGGGGGGGGGGTCACGTGCCTGGCTCTCGCCCGCAGGAGCCACAGCGGGGAAGGAGGCTGCTGTTTCTTACCGAGGTATCCGGGGCGCGGGTCGTGTGCCGCGGGCGCTGTGCCTCTCCATCCCCTGGCTGGGTGCCACAGGGTCAGACACGGAGACAGCAAGGGCACAAACTGGAGGGAGCCTGACCTCCTGAATAGTTAGCACAGCCTCAAAGTCTGTGCCCACCCCGGAAATACGGCTGCGAACCACACAGAGAAGGTCCCTGCTCTGTGTGTGTGGGGGGGGGGGGGCGGCGCAGAAAAGGACACATTCAGGGCACAGGCAGCAGGATCATCAAGACCTTGTGAGTGTCGGGACCGGCCCTGGTTCTCCCAGAAGCCTTTGGGTCTCTATGTCAGCGGGCTGGCAGCACGGTGTCTGGGAGCCCGGACAACTCCAGTCGCCAGAAAGGCAACACCTTCTCTAAATACGGGTTATGGTATACACATCCGTCTCCTGTGAGTTGAGTTATTATGAGGCTTTGTGCCCTGGGCCAGTCCACTTAGGAATCATGTTTGCAATGCTAAAACCCTCATCTGAGGCAAAGATGGACAAGGCAACGTTCAGTGGTGAGCCCCCTGCCCCCCGGCCGCAGTTAGTGCATCAGTGAGAGGCATCTCGGTCTGCCTACAACCCCGGAATCTGGGCCTGTGTTGTCTGCAATATCCCACGCAAGGCTCCTGGGAGACACTCAGTGAGTATTTCAGAAAGCTTGGTTGCAGTTTCGCGGTCCCTGTCCTTGGAGGTATGTCCAGATGGGGAGACGTGGTGTTTTCATTTTACTCCCCACCAGGGGGAGACCCTGGGGCGAGGGTGTGTGCACGTTGCATGTTTGGGACGACATCAGCAGGGCAGTGGGGAGGTGAGACGAGGCCACCCGGAGAGGCATCGAGGTGGCCCCCCGTGGGCTCCTGGCGCCTGGTC